AAAAGTCGCCGTAGAGCGACACTCAGCTCCAGGCTCAATACAAACTTACAAAATGGTGCTATGTGCCCTTCAAGGGAGCTCCCTTAGTTTCCTACACGTGCCGCTCTCTATTTCCCCCACGAGAGAACGGGGAGAGGGAGGATGGGTGTAGCTGCACCCTATAACCACGCCAAATGCTTGCAACTAGTTGCACATATCGTTTTGCGCGCACGTGCGCAACCTTGCACCTTCTTGTATCGAGCTGACAGGGCACGAGTCAATGTCTTACCAAGGTGAGGCAGAGCCTTCATGCGAGAGGCACAACAGGCAGTAAGAGAAGGGTGCTCTGCTCATGAAACCGGTCTATTGTGGTTTTGCAACCATTCGTTAAGCAAAGAACTTGATGGAACGATCACCCAAAGGCAAGCAGAAATGGGAGCGTGTAAAGGCGACGCTCGCGGATGCACTAAATAAGGGCGAGCTGCCGGCAATTCAGACACGTCCTAGTGGGCCAACAAACCGTGTTCAGCTGATTGCTGGGTCAATCTTAAGCTGAATCCCGCGGGAAAGAATACGTCAGCGTGAAGAGGAGATTGAACGGGAAGCGAATGATTTGGTGAAAGAAGGTGAAATGCAGGTATTGACCTGTGCTTTTAGGCATAACCCATTTTTAGCACCAAAAGCGGCAGAAAGTCGCAGATGTAAATCAACATTAAACCCTTGATCAAGGCTACTATCAACCACAAGTTTTCAACGCCCTATATGGACGGAGAATTTTTGATAAATCACACGAATCCAGAGTGTACGAAACACCTAACATTCCAGATGCTTCTTCTAAGAAACCCCATTATTGTGATGGCACGCATAAAGCGGTGTCCACATTGCCCCTCACAAACTCGAATTTACCTCAAGGCCGCTTGGACTTTTAAATGGCCCAGCTTAACTGCAACGGTTAGTTAATGGGGATTCGTGTGCGCCTATCAATGAGAAGTGAAAGGCTAGCTACATTGGTGACATCTTGCATTTCAGTTTAAACGCTCCAAAACACCTACAAGTCCTGCGGCGTGCGCCCTAACTAACGCCGAATAAGCAGTGGTCTGCGCGGGCCCGCACGTTTTCGTGTTTTATGGGCACAATGATATTTCTGGACTTTACATTTTGGCTTCAGGTGTTGTGCCACATTGAGCAAGAACTGCAGCACAATCGAGGCGTGGCCTTTACGAATACACATCCGCAAAGGCGTTACGAAGTTCCAGGGGCTTGTATCTGATTATATTTGCGTATATCACTGCTGCTTATGTCGTCATACTTAAGAAAACACTGTTTGTAATCCATGCAGCATGGACGCTTATTGCCTCACAACTCCGGTGCCCCAGCTCCCTAATAAGCGTCACATTTTCCTAAAGTGTGATTGGGTAATGGGTAATGACGTAGTGGTCGGTGCTATTCTCTTCCGAAAGGCTAGAAGCTCTCAGTAAGATCGAATCATAGCTTGCTGTTCAGACTACTATCGAAGCCGAACAGTAGCGGGAACTCTGCAGTGTGGTGGGCAATGAAAACGCCGGCCCTATGGCATGGGTTTCCTTTACTGTTCAGACAGACTATCACTCTTTAGCGTATATTACAAAAATGTGTTCAGTGCTGTAATAGCCCTAGAGCACTGCATTTGCTCGGACACCTCCTGCGGTACAATTTTCCATGTGTTGTATTCAAGGCATCACCCGTTGTCGCCTGCGGGCTTTCACGCCGCTTCAGCGATTCACTATGATGCAGTGCAACCGCTGCTCTCTCCAACGATTCTCGTTTTCTGTAGAAAATGTGTCGTGTGCTTTTGACATCCACGAACTGAGTAATATTCCCCAAATCCAGAAGAACAAAACGGTGAAAGATTCTCACGCTTTGGATAGCCTTTTATGGTTCAAAACGAAGCGAGGACACCGTCGCTTGTACAATGCAACTTGGATACACATCACAGTGCGCATAAACATGCTCCCTCGGGCCACAATGAAAGTCGCATTACAGTGGAAGGGCCCCTGCAGTTTTTTGACGGCCTGGGAGCTGTCTTGTTGCAGAGGAATATGCCTTGTCATGCCCACTTTGAAGGCATTAGTGCTAACCAGAGAATGGCTTCTTCGTTGGACTGCGGGTCAGGAAAGCATTAACGTCGCTTTCAACAACCTCAACGAACGATACTCTTTACATCTCTTGATCCAGCTGTGTCACGGCTGGTGAGTTACTCAATTGTCCTTAATTCATGTGTAGAAGAATTGCGGGTTCCCCACGAATAGCATTCTGAATAGATATTCGAAGTTAGCCAGTGCGTTTGAGCGGATCTTTATGGTCCGCCTACACATTGACCATAATGTGACTCAAACCGTGCTGAGGCAGATGAGCATGTCGAGCTCGCCAATTGTAGTCTTCTGCACGATATGAATCCCCCCAGCGCCGAAGTCCTATTGATATATTTCAGTTTCCACCTTGTACTGTGTAGGTCTAAAAGATATACAATAGTGCACTCGTCTACCCATTGTCCTTTCGTATCCTGATCTACAGTAAGAAGGGGCTCTTCAATTCAAGCCTAGACTTGATGGTTGCGAGCAGCAGCCACTGTTGGAGGCGGAGGGACTCAGAGAACAGCAGGCTAATGCGCGTGTACGTGCAAAGCTACAGATAGAAAAGACCTGATCGTGAGACAGAACGGTTGATAATGTGTTTCGAATGTGGAGATTTGGACGTAGTGGATCGTAACGCATTACCGGAGCTGTATGAGGAGACCAGAGGAAGAAGTCTGCGGCCCAGTGGCTAGGACCAGTTGTCATCCTCTCACGAATCAACGCTCTTTCTTACCTTACCAATTTGCCTGGTAGCTTGAGGTGCGACAGAACTCTCAATATTGGCTGCGTATAGAAATTCAAAAGCTACCCGATGCCTTTGCGCAAGGCAGTCCAGTGATTCGTGTGTTGGCTGTGGATCCCTGGGAGCCTCACATGTGCCGAATTCTATGATCATTCTTTTGTTGATAGCCAGTAGGGGAGTCTGTGGTGTAATAGGGTGGGGTAAGCCAACCTTGGTGGTTGAAAAAGAAACTTTGCAGACTTAGCTGCTTGCGGGAGAAATTGTGGCTCTAATCCAAAGGCTAGTCGCTAAGGACTTTATTTCTTGCATTATGTGGCAATTGCCCTTCCCCAAAGCGTGTTTTATGCCTGGACAAGCTTTCTTCACACAAAAGGGTATTTTTTGGAAAATGCTGGTTATTATTGTCAAGACGTTACCTGCCCTGATATATGCACAGGCTCTAAATGTCGTCCCTGGATTCCTCCGTGTGCTTCTTGAGAAGTTGGAGTCAATTATGCTGCATGCTGTATTGGCTGATCGGCACGATAAAATTGCTTCATCAGGAATGGGGCACTGCTGACTTATTTGAGATGGGGTAAACAAGCTGCGGGCTAAGCTACATTCCAGCGTTTTTCGCTAGTTGTTGGTAAAGAATTGACCAATTAGTTTGTCCGTTCGTTTTGCACTACTCATTGCCCAATACTCTACGCTTGATACAAGAAGACGCATTGCTGTGCGTAAGTGCGCTTGATGCTATGTGCAGCTAGCACTTAAGGCTCGGAGTGCTTGGAGGGTGCAGCCACGCCTACCTTACCTCTGCCTTTCCTCCTCCGGCATCCAATATGAGGGGAGCACGAAGGGGAACACGGAAGTTCCTCTCATCATTAGTCAGTGATAGTCAGAGACTTCCTATTCAGATAGTATTGAATCAGGAATTAAGTGCTCCCCTACGAAAACATTAAATATGGCGTTAGCTGCACAAAGCGAAAAATTGTTGTACTGTTGGATACGCTCGCTTTACATGAAACTAGAAATGGGGAATACGCAAGCCGTTGCGTCAATTATAAGGCGAATCGTGTCCAAGTGTATGGCCGTCTGCTTGTGTATGCTCATGTGTGGCCTGGCCCGGTGTAGTTGCGAAGTCTATCTGAAGCAGCTGTGGTGTTCAAGGGCAAGCAAGCGGCTTCGAAGACCAAGAACAGTCGCCAAACAAGGTTGGGGACCTCCAGGAAGAAATACCTTTCTTCTTCTGAAAAACATTGTGCGTAGTGTGTGCCGCAATGCCGCCTAGCCCACGCCTGTGTTACACCATCCGGCATGCATTTACACCGAGGGAGGGCCACTCTTCCTTATACATAGAAAGAGAGGCTGAGGCTGACGCCCCGTCTTCTTTTGCGAAGACGAAAGGGCAGAAGCTTTCATAAAGATTCAGCAAGAATGGGAATATTGGCTTCAGCTGCATGCAGGATCATGAATGGAGGCGGCTCCAGCAGCACCAGCAGCTCCGTCTTCCTTGCAGCAGTAGAGGAGCGCATGCTGCTGCCGCTTCCCACGAAATGATTGCAAAGTCAGAGGCAAATTGAACTAAATCAAGGGACCTTGAATAAACCCTTACATCTTTTGCGCTCTTGTAGGCGGTTAGCCCTTCCACCGGAGTGCAGTCGATTCCTGTTGCTTCAGCGGCTGTTGATGCTGTTGGTGTGTTGGTGGTGCTGCTGTTTTCTTCGACTGTAGCTTCGCGTCCTCTTTTTATGACTCATTCTTCCCTGAATTTCCCTGCCACTAGATTAAGTGTGTGTGGCTTTGTTGCCATTCCCTGTACCGGAGCAGCCATAAACGCAGCGCGCAGCAGCGGCTGATGCTTACGTGGGCCACCACCTACTTTGAAACGCCGACGGTCTTCTCCCCATTTTCAGCAACAACTGGCGAAGCTCTCTACTTGTTTATCCTTTTGCAGGCCTAGCGCTCTATGGGCATGGCCAGCAGCAGCCACAGCGGGAGCGGAAGTCTGCGCACTTTTGCGGAGCTGCTTTTGTTGGGGGCAGACTCGTTCGCTGGTTGTCCCTTTGAGCACGACACATTTGTATCACGCGGCAGCACCAGCTCAGGGAATGCTGCTCCCACGGATTTAGGAAACATTCTGCCGCGTCGTCAAGTCCAGCACTGGCAACCGCTGATGTTGCAAGATGCCCTGCAGCAGCACGGATGAGGGTGCATGGAATGGCTCTCTGGCGAGCAACTCACTGGATTCGGAGGACCAGCGTGCTGTGGTTGTAAGCCGCAGGAGCACCGGCACCAGCAGGCCACGTCATCGACAGGGTTGGGAGGACTGCATGGTGAAACCTTGTGCTCGTAGAATGAGGTGCGATATCTCATCAGTAACGGCAGCTGGCGTGGATGACAACAGCCTTGTATCTCTCCACCATGAAACTGACGTTTCGGAGGGCGCGCACGGCGCAGTAGAATGTACAGCTCTTGCTGGTGCAGGTTCCAGCGCCTCAGGACATGTAGTTCCTCCACTCGGACCGGTCCAGATGCAGCTTGCGAAAGCGGCGGGTGCTGCTGCTGCTGCTGCTGATTCACGTGCTGCGCAGAAGCAGAGGAATGGAGAGGGGGGCAGCAGCGATGGAGACAGCGATCGTGACTTCTTCACGCCTCTGTCGTCTCCTCAGAGAGACCTGCCTGCACCGTCTCTGCCGCTGACTGCTCCTCTGCGAGGGGATGCGTCAGAGCAGCATTCTCGGCTTTCTCCCGCGGAGGGGGAGGAAGGAGGCTCTATGCTTCTCGGCCGTAACGACCACAGCCAACTGAAGAGCACAAGCACTAGCTGTCTGCCTGTAGCACAGGAATGCAGACTGCTTTTGGGCCGCTTTCCTCTGAGGAGGCGTTTCATGTCTGCGGATTGCGGCACCTCCTACGCACAGCAACAGCAGCACACGGATGCGCAACGCGTAGCTGCAGTGAGCACTGTTGCTGGTTTACAGCTCCTAGCGAAGACTACCGTAGCCGGCGAAGCTACGAAGGAGAGGATGGCAATGGAACGCAGGATATCCAGATCTCCCCTGCCGAGTCGACGCTGCCTACGGAGGGCCTTCTTGCACCGGCAGCAGCCACAGCAGATGCACTGGCTGCATTGCCAGCAGCGGCAGCTGCAGCACCAGCAGCAAAGACTGCATCGTGAACCGTCAGACGAAGACATCAGGATGCCCCTAGTTCCCCCGCCAGTATCATTGTCACCTCTTCTCGTCAGCACACGCGGGGGGCCCCCAGCGCTGCGTTCTCTGCAGTTTCCCGCTGCTGCGAATCCTCCTGCAGTGAGTGGTGCACCAGGCACGGAGGGGGAAGAGGCGCTGCCTCCGAACTCATCTGCCACCGACGACACCCCTGGGAGGCTGCAGCCGGACAAACGCATGAGTTTCACGTTCATAACTAGTCAGTCGCAGGCAGAAGAGCAACAGTCATGCCAGGATGGAGCACAGTCTCACTGTCGTGAAGACGAGCCACTGCTGCGCCAGCGAGACGAGGAGGATGACCAGAATGAAGGGCTTCAGGGGATCAAGCGCCGTCGCTTTTCGCTGGAAACATGCGACGCTACATTCACTTTTCCGTCTGTGCAAACGGCTGCTGCGGTTGCTTCTCCGAAGGCAAACAACCGCGATACTGTGGGGCTGCAGCCACAGCAGCAGCGGCATGCACAAATGAACTGCGTTGAAGCACCTGCGTGTGAGGAAGAGGTTGACTTTGGCAGCTACAGGAAGCGGAAGAGAGGGGGAGACTGCAGCGCACGGCTGCTGTTGATGCTGCAGCCTAATGGAGCGGCCGCAGCGGATGCAGCTTTGCTGGACGTCCTTGGAACCGCCTTGACTGCAGAGGAGACGCGTGAATTGCGTATGAAACAGCAGAAAGAGGCAGAAGCAGCTGCAGCTGCTGCGGCGGAGGCTGCAGCTCAGGCCAAGGCGGCAGCAGCAGCTGCTGCTGCCGCCGAGGCAAAGGCAGCTGAGGAAGCCCAAGCAGCAGCGCAGCGCTCGCAGACAGAAGGTGAAAAGGCTCAGCCTCCTTCGGCCGTTTCTGGGGAAGCAGGAGATACCCGCAGCAGCACAGTGCTCCGATCTCCTGCTCCTCTGACTGTCGCTGCAGCACTTCCCGTAGGAAGCAGTGCCGCCATATCGTCTCCTATTTTCGGATCTGCGAGTTTATCGCAGTCTGCGCGGCCAGCGCAACAGCAGTTGCTGCAGCAGCCCCAACAGCAGCAGGGGCAGCAGCAGCAGGTGCAGCAGCAGCAGGGGCAGCAACAAGTACAGCAGCAGCAGGGGCAGCAGCAACCACAGCAGGGATCTGGTGTAAACGGCGCAACTGCTGAGGAATTTACCTCTATGCATGGTCGGCCAAAATTGCGCATCCGTCGGGCGAATGCAGCTCCCCCAGCAACGACACCAGGCATTTCAGCAGTTTCCGATTCGACGCTACGGTTTCAGCAGCAGCAGATAAGCAGCGTGAATCCTGCGTTCGGTCAGCCTATGCCGCAACAACTGCAAATGGATGTGCAACGTTCTCTATTTCAACTACCCCAGCAACCGAAGCAGCCATCACAGCAGCCATCACAGCAGCCCCCACAGCAGCAAGCAGTAAACGGCCTGGGTTTGGGTTTGGCAGAATTCGGCCCTACAGTTTCAGAAGTACCTGACGCAGGTGAGTGATGTAGCGTGGTATTTATTTGAACGTTTTTGACGATGACGAGTATGCAATTGGGCGGTAAGTGTATTACTCCGTCTGCGTTGGGGGTTGCCATAATGGCACATTTTGATGCTTTTGTTTTTCCGTGTCTTGCGAATGTTCAGGCAACAACCCATTCGCTTTCGTTGCGAGCAGGAGCCGAGGTCGGGGCGGCCGGCGGGGTGGTATGAGGCGGCGGTAACGAGGGGACGGATGGTCATTCGACGGGAGGAACAGGCTAGCAATTCGTTAACTGGGTGGCTGATTGGCCAGAGGGATTCTTGGAGAATGACATGGGGAATGAAACAACGCTACAGCGCCTACAGTGTGCCTCATTGCTATAAGCTTAGGTGGTGACGGGCGGGCCGGGTCGGTGGGTAGGAGCGGGGGCACGTAATTAACATTCCCTTCGGCAAGGCGGTACACTGCTGCCGCTGGAGGTGCATGCGTCCCAAAGAGCAGCCATTACCGCCAGTGTGATCTTCGAAACGTAGGGAGCATTCCGTGCATGCTCATTTTCTTTTTTAGTTTTTGTCTAGCTGGGTCTCTCCACGGGCTGCACGTTCCTGGGAGAGACAGACCGTGAAACACGTACTGCTTCAGTCGGATGGGCTATGTTGAGTATGGCGATATTGACGGCAGTCTGTTAAGTAATTCAAGTGCATACAGCAAAGTGAGATTGTTTCCGTGCTAGGTGGGTATTATAAGGGTTGCATACCAAGCAGGCACGCAGAGCCAGCACACAGGAAGGAGCATCCCTATGGCCAAAGGGGTCGCGTGAGCTGCGTGGACGAATGATGGACATGTTTAGAAAAATATTCACATACAGCTAAAAACATCTAAGCTCTGCTCCCGTCGGAAGCCATAGCACCAATCTCCTCGCAACAACTATCGATCTCACCAATGTACATGCACCTCTAGAGGGAGGTTAGCGGCCAGACAGGCAACGTGTAAATCGGCATGCACTTGTTTTCTCGAGCCTAGTCTTGAAATCTTGAGTGCATGAGGACCCTTCACATTAGAGCACTGTTCACTGCTCATGGTGCATGGCAATATTGTAGATGCTATATCTGTGGTCGCTGACCTCCCCTTGAAAGGGCGTGCAAATCTCCGGGATTATACCCATAGGCATTGGCTTCCGACGAAAGCAGTGCTGAGAGCTTTCCAGCTGTTTGTGTGTTTTTTTTGGAGATGCCCGTCCTTCTTCCACGGTGCTCACTCGTCTTCCTGGGCCTCATGTCGGCTCCTTTATTGGTAAAAGGGAAGCAGAAGCATCGTCAGAATTAGACGCGCACTGCACAGTGCCTCGTTTTGAAGGGGCATGACGCGCGCTCATGGACAGCCACTACGTATGACTCAGCTCCGACAGTCGGGGAGGCCACTTTGTGCTATGCACCAGAAACAGTGAATACTGCTGTAATGTGAAGCGTCCTCATGCACCCAAGAGCTCAAGACTAGGCTCGGGGAAACAAGTGCATCCCGTTTTAGATGTTGCCTGTCTGGCCGCTAACCTCTTTTTGGAGGTGCACATTCATAGTGGAAGGTCAAATTAAGGGCTACGGCTACCTGAACTCACCCAAGAGTTGTACTGTTTTCCACTGAGCTTTGAGTGAGCATACGGAGAAATTGCGGCACATCATGTCAAGCGTGGATTTCACGTAGGCCACCTCCCCTTGCTTCATTTTGTACTTAGTGATACTAGGTGTATTTTTTTCACGTATATGGCATCATTTTTGAAAACAGAAGAAGATTCTTAGATGCGCTGCATACGGGGTATGTTGCTTGACACGAGACTGGTAGGGGAGCGTTGTGCTCTGCTGAGGGCAGGGCAGGAAAAATAGAGTCCACTAGCACAAGGCAAGGACGTATTTTGTGAAGAATATCGCTAGGAAAGACGTGTGGCTTTCCCCGATTTTGCAAATGGCTCATCAAGAAACAAGTACCTGTGTTGGCCCTGGCGCGGGTTTTCGACCTCGCAGTAGCAGAACTTGTTGACGCAACAGATCTTCTCTGCAGCCCATTTTTCTCAATAGCATGAGTTAATGGGGCACTACAAGTGCTATGTGCTTTTGCGCGGAATGGGAGGGGTCTGGGGTCTGCAGGAACACCAAACAAAGCCACTGGTCAGAGTCACTGACCATCCACTGACGCTCCACGTTCCAGGGTGTGCATAGAAAGTCAAGTATATTTGACATCCCACCTCTAGTATGGTTAGTGTAATCACTGGTCTTGTGAATTTTCTAGTTGCTTCGTGCAAGACAAACCCAATAGCTTCAAGTTGGTGATGGGGCATCCAGTCGCCCTCACTAAGGGAGCATTGCATGGAAAACCATGCGAAAAGTAACCTGAGCTGTTTTTCTATGCTTATTCCACCCGGTTATGAGCTTTTACGTCAAATAAGGGTCATAGCATCTCACTGTGAAGGACTGATGGCTAATCTGCCCCCAAGAACCCCTTAACCCACCATTGGGCACATTCAACATCACGCTCTCCTTCTTTGTCTCTGGCTTGATCACCCCTCCATAAAGATGTCTGGACGGAGCCAGAATATTTCTTTCAATTCCTTCGACGAGTTCGACCCAGAGTCGGTTCGCAAGCTTACAGACTTCACCATGTGGGCCTAGCCATAAACCCCACACCAGTAGTGGCGACAAGTCTTCCTCTCGTCTTCCCATATTTTTCCTCCTACATGCTCTTTTTCTTCTTCTTTATCATAAGGCTTAGATGCTAGCACTTGGTGGACGCATTTTCTGCAATCCTTGCGCGCAGGAGCAGCTGGGTCAGGAAGCTGGGAGAAGCAGAAGTGTTTGAAACGGACATGCAGCACCTAATTCTCAACTACCTGACTATCAACGGCCTTGTTGGCCCAGCGGAGGAGTTCATAAGAGAAGCCCGCATAGATCGTGAATCGAATGTGCACTGTAGTCCTCTTCGCAAACGCGTCTTCAATTGCTTTTCTAGGGGAAATAAGGCCCCTGGCCATCTTGTCTTTTAATCCTGTTCTTGCTGCAGCCGCTCTCGGAGCTTGAGGTCGCTACTGCTGCTGTTGTCGACTTTTTCACTGGCATTGTTGGTGTTATTGCTACTACTGCAGCTCAAATGCCGCTCCACTGCATCGACTGCAGGGCGAAGATCCGCGAGGCCATTCTGGCTGGTCGGACAGAAGATGCAATTCGTCAAATAAGCTGTATAGACCCCATGGTGAGTGATTTTTTCTCCCTCTGTCTATCGTAACGCCCAACTGCTTGTCCTTCCCCTCGCAAGAGTAATTTAAAAACTTGCTCGGTCCGCTCTATGAAATTGTGCAGCTCCTGAATGCAGATGCTGAGGTTACGTTCTTGCTACATAAACAACAGCTCTTGCGGCTCATCGAGGCGGTAGGCAGTGGTGATTATCTTCTGATTCAACAAGCCAATCGCAACCCCTGTAGCAGGCTTTCGTCTGTGGAAGAGAGAAGCAGCTGATGCTAGATGTTTATGAAGTCAGCTGCGCCGCAGGGAGACCCGGAATTGGCCATCGATTTCGCGCAGCAAAACCTTGCCCCTTGTGTCAAGGAGTGTGTACGTCTAACTTTGCAACAGCAAGAATGATAGAGGCGCTTCTGATCCCCAGTTTTAGAGCTTTCATCCGCACTTCATCTCTTTCTTTTCTGATGTTCTTCTGTTGAATCCACAGCCGCACTTGCTTCCGCAGCTGGAGGAGGCGATGACTCTCTTGGCGTTTAACGACCTGAACGTAAGAGCAATCGCCATTCGCCAGTGTCTGTAACTCTTACTCCAACTGCGGTCAGTGGCAGATTACCAATCGGTAATTCTTCGAATGATCTGCGAAGTGCAAGCGTTTTGAGTTGTGCTGGTTGTTATAGTGTCCGGAGGCCCAACGGCTCATAGGAGGGATGGAACAACGAGAGAAAACAGCAAAACGAATTGACGAAGCAATCCTTGATTTGTACAGAATCGAGCAAGGCAAGCACTATAGGCCGAACCATCTATGGTTTATCGTTCGATTTGATCAAACACGAAAGTATCAGGCAGGCCCAGATAAAGCACTAGATCGGGTGGGACAGGAGGGAAATTGCTTTCTTTGATAGTTTGGGCATCGCAAGCAAGAGCGAATGGCTGCGCTGTCACTAGCTGTGCTGTGTTGATGGCAGAGTCCGCTTTGGAACTTCTGGCAAAGAATGCTCTCTTTAGTCAGGGGTGTCTCCATAACGCTGTAAGCTACCTCATTTACGCTTTGCTTAATTGTTTTCTGTATTGCTCCTACGAAATTCAGCAGCATTTATCATTTGACGCCACTTCCCGTTTACTTTTCCTCTTCTTTCGCTATATTTGGTGTCTTTCCAGCGCATCCCATGCGAGCGTTCCTCGTCTGTGTATTATTGCCACTGTGTGTCTTTGCGAAGTAATGCGTGTAGCCCTGCCCATTCGTGTCTGCAGCAGAGGTCCCTATGCCCTATGATTGTGGATCTACGGAAGGGCACTCTAGGCAGACCTTTCTTGCCCTCTGCGAGTCAGGCTACTAGCGAAGGGGCCTCCAGAGGGAGTGGAGGCAGTGGAACAGGTGGAAACCGTTCGGGCGCAGTGCAAGGGGCCTTGGACATGGATGTGATTTCTTCGCAGCCTCAAGAAGAGCCGCAAGAAGCAGGTCACCGCAGACAGAGTCAGTTGGCATTAAGCACGCCTGATCCGGGGACGGTTGCTTACAGTAGCCAAGATAGGGAACACTCAAGGGAATTTGGCAGGAGACGTAGGGCCGATGGGGGCTCTTCGTAAGGGTACCCCTATACAGATTAGAATGCTTCTAGGCTAGATCCAGCTTTTGGGGTCTGAATTACTTCTCTTTAATTTTCTATCTGTTGATATGCTGCCGTCTTGAAGGCACGTAGCTTTTGGTTGCCTTGGAACTTCCCGGATTCCGGTGCCTTTTTCAAAGTATTTCTTAGCCTTCGCCAAGCATTTGGCTGAAGCAACCACGAAACCAGAAGCCATTGCAAGATTTCCTAGTGCCGTTACATAAGCTCTCTATCTACAGTATCAGTTGTAGGCGAAGACTGGCACGCTTCTGGTTACGCACAGAGTTACGAAACAGTTCTATAGACCCCATCACGCAGGAAGCAGTGTCTCCAAAAAGGCGCCTTGGCGAAATCGCCCTTTTTTTTCGGGTCAATACAAAGGCAAAGCAAGGAATGCGGCCTCTTTCAGAGCCTGAATATCTAAATGAAGAGGCTTGCTGTACTCTCCCACCCCACATAAACTGCCAGCGACAGGAAAGGAACCACTGACAGTAGGCCGCCAGCTTGTTCCCAGCTTTACGGAATTCAAAAAAGCGTATCCAGTGCACTCATCAAAGAAAGCAGTTTCTGTTATCAAAGACGCATTACGTTGTTTCAGTTTGCAGCCAATGAGTGCGCATGTCCACCACAGACCGAACCGATGGGTTCTGGAAGCCAGAAAACGCAAACAATCAAGGAACCGCCAGAGTTTTTATTTCATTGAGTCGAATCTTTACGTTTAAATTTGTAGAGAAAGGTTCTTTGGCTGAAGTGTTCCCTCTTAGGGTCACACAGCCAGGTCACTTCAGTAGCCACAAGCTGTGTAGCTGCCTTCCCTCCTTTTCCGTGTCATCCTTCTTCGAAATGGAAAGCGCTGTCACGCAGATCGGGTGGGACGAGGCTTCATACCTTTGGGAGATCAGAGACTTCATGGATCTTCGTGAAATGGCGAAGGAAGACCGTCAGGCACTTCATAAACCCGCTGCCCTACCCTTTTTCTTTCGAATGGAAACAGCCAAATCAAAGGGCACTCGCACTACATTGGCACACCTATGACTAAATTTACGTAGAGTTAAGTGTTATCAAGTAGGCACTGGGCCTAAAAGCTAGCAAATGTGAATAAGAGGCGGTAACAAGACATGGTATTCTGTGAATGTCGCAAAGTGAGAAAAGAGGAATCGTCCAGAACGGAAAGGCTGCATGCTGAGGCTTAAGGAACAGGAGCTTTTCGTCGCCATTTGTGTGTGTGATCTTACCTTCAGCATCCTGCTCTGCGAGCCGGCTTGAGAGTCCTGTGTTCAAGTGTTTCTCTCTCTGGCTGTTCCCCAACGGTCAGGAACAGCACGAGTCTGTTGGCCTCATAGACCTCGCTATCATGTTTAAAGGAAAGAGGGGGTCTGTCCGGGCGAAATGGACAGCTTGTTTCCTTGATGCGAAAGGAGAACTGAGTCAGCAGCCACGATAATTTACCGGCCACGCTTAGTTGAGCTGAGTTCATGCCCTATTGGCATTCCTACTATTTCCTTCGTTCAATATGCAACCATAACGTACTTTTACTTTGGGTGTGCGTATTCTTTACTGCGCTTTTTTCTGTGCCTTTCATGCAGCTTGGGCAGCAATGTCATTGCTTACATATGCAGTCCTGCTTCATAACTATATGTAATATTTTCAGTCATTTACATGTGCAGACACCCTGTCCCTGCTTGGCCTCCAAGCATACGCTATGTAACCTGTCCGTCGCGCCTAATCTAGCGAAAACTCAACCTGAGAGTTTATTTCTTCGATTCTAAGTCCGCTTTTTGTTGCTTGACTATTTCAGTCCCTCGCACCCGACTGGCTGACCCTTTAAAGAAATACTGCCCAGGAGGTGACGGCCGCCGTTTCTCTTACGCGCCCTCGTTAGACACTCTCCAGTCATGGCTTCATAACGGCACACTTCGCATTTATTGTCAAGCCTTTATTGCGCTGGACTGCAAGTCGGCCCACGTGCCGATCCCCCGTAAGTAGAATGCACGCCCTTGCTAACTTTTTGGTAAATAGACATTCTTTGTGTGAATACCACCTCAGCAAATCTAATTAAGGTCATCTAAATAAGCGGATTTTTCACCGGGATTAATTGAATGGCCTCGCAATTGCTATAGGGACGTAATCTGTCGCAAAAACGAGGCAGATCACTGCCTTGGTAATACGCTCAAGGAGGCTGTCACATGTACTATGCAGCTGTAATTGCACAAGTGCCACCTCAACGGCTGAAGGCGGACATTATTCACTACGCCCTTCAAGCTGACTCGCATGACGTCCGCGTGTGGTGCTGCAATTCCGTTACAAGTTGTTGCCGCTTCCTTCTGGCAGCTCGCTCCCCAGTGAGTTTGTCAACACAAGCCTGCACAGAAAACATGTAGGATTGTCAGCATGCAGTTCAAAGTACATTGACGTTAGAATAGTGCAAGCGGGCTGCTCTTAAATAGGGTAGATCAAACTACGATAGCGCATAGCCAATGAATTTAGAAGTCCCTGAGTGCTTACCAGCTTCACCCTACCTCCTGATATCGAGTTATCCCGCAGCGTATCGATCATCCGCCAGTATATCAAGCCTGGCCAGTATGCAAGACTAGAACCTAGTCAGGTTCAACGTGCGGTTACTTCTAGGTACTGCGCAAAATGCTCAACGGGCCGTTTCGGGAGGCCGACGCGCCGGACATCCATCTGACAGACATTTGCCCGTTTGCCGCTCACCAAATGCTTCTTTTCATTCATACTGACGCCTGCGAACTACTTGAAAAGCTGAAGCCAACGTGCACGCTTGAAGAAAAAAGGCAACGGCAAGAAGCCCTTATGGCCCTCCTTTCTGCCGCAGACAAATACGATATTCAGGTAAGGCCGTTTCGCCTGCCGTGCGAAGAAGTATCCATGGAGATATTCTCGCCTAAGTAGTTCTTGCGTACATCACAGTTGCGTTACGTTTACAGGGTGCTAAGCAATATTACTTCACCGCGTAGTAAAATAAATTTGGGGGGGGATTGCTTGCCATTAGCCATGCCAACACATTTGTATACAGAAATCAGTCGCAAACTTACACTCGAAATCTTGGAAGGCTCATGTAATATATCGCGCGTGGTTCATTCACTCGGACGCTAGACGGCTTTCTCTTGTTCTGTTAGTAGATATATCAGGGGTCTTATGAGAAGGCAGCTGTCAAGTTGACCAATGGATATGGGGCGAGAATAGCAGTCTAGATCCTGCGTGTGGGTGGTTGTAAGGGTTTGAAGGACGAATGTGAGCAGCAGCTGGCAAATCTGGTGGACGAGGAGTCTGTCCTCGAGGTTTTGTTGTTTGCCCAATCACGGAACTTTAATCGACTGCTAGAAGCAGGTAAAAAGTAGCTGGGTTCCATATCATCAAGCCCATTACGGCATGCATTCAGAGACGGTGTTCACATATTGGCTTTATAAACGAAACTTGGCTCCGCTCAGGGCAACGATTGCCCCTCTGTTGGCTATTCATATACTCTCAACGCCCATGAACCGCCTTCTTCGGAATAACTGGCCGTACCACAAATAAGGAAATGAATCATTTCGCTTGGACTGGAACATGCTATTTCTAAGCAGCAACACTGACTAGTCTGCGCACATGCACATCTACAAAATGTTGTGCCTCAGGTCAAAAGCTATTACAAGGGATGCCCGCTCTGCGCCTGTGGAAAACTTGGCAGAATAGGTCGCCCCGCCTTTTTAACCAGACAACCGTTCCTCATGCATGCGAGAACACAGGAGGCTGCATCACGTGGGATACCAATGACAGAACCGAGGCCTTGTCTGTCTACGCTGCACCAGAGGTATCGTAGCTTGCGAACTTCACAAGCAGCGCGATCATTTGTGCAGTTCGCCTTTGAAAATAAAGCCAGTAGGCAGATCGCATAGGCGTTAGCGCCCCCTTTGTCATAGGGCTCTTCAGTGCGACGGGTTGGTCCACAACTCCCGCGTGTCTGATTTTTTATTGGTAAACACTTCGGAGGGGGATGAGTACAGGCTTCTCCGTAGAAAACGCCTGGAAAGTGTATTCGTCAACAAATAGTAAGTAGAACGCCAGGATACCAGTAATGATCACACAGACGAGCCAGAAGCCACGCAGTCCTGAGGGACCCGTAAGGTGTATGTGAGCTGTGTTCTAAAGAAAACAACCGTGGACGCAGTCACCGAGTTTACCTACCGTAGGCTGCATATATGGGAAGTCCAGTTAGTTGAGACAGGCCGGCGTCTAGGAAGAACAGGCAGGCGTTGAGACCAAGTACAGAACCCAGCTCTTGGCGTTGCACGAGCTTTGTCATTTGGGAAGTGCAGCAGATATACCTGTAGGAAGCAACCCGGTGAACCACCAATTCGACAACTTGTAGAGAATCCTGGTGGCTCCACCAGACGCATCGCTTTATTATTACAACACGATATAGATGAATGTATAGTCCTCCAAAGCGGTCCAATAGTGGCAAAAAGAATCAAGTGAACACCAGAGAACAACCGCACGTTCCCAGTGCACTAGCTAGCAAACAGCTTACAGCAGTGCTCCCCCGCATACTTGAATATGGAGTGAAAAGATGGCGCAGGAAAGATATGATTGGAATCAGCTTACGCGGAGTCAAGAGAAGGAGAAGTGTCTCAACCAGCGGCAGGTTGGGAAAGCATAGAAGCCTGAAACGGACAGGGGTTTTTTCTAGTCATACCAGAAAGGGCATAATGCGCTCTTCTAACCCTAAGAAACCGGCAAGGGCGATGGGACAAGAGTATTTTATACAAGCGCGGTCTCCTGAAAAAATGGACATGTAAAATATTTTAAAAAGCTTAACTACAACCACAAATTTTTAACTGCCCGCGGCCGTCTGCACCTACCAAAACGAGAGGCCAAAAATGGAGCAAGAATGCCTGTCCACGTTCATGACGTTTGAAATGGGTCGGCACACTTTTCGGATAAAATCTACCTTCGGCGGCTGCGCAAGAATGGATGAAACGCCGCACAAGCTGAGAGTACAACGTATTGCATACCAATCATAGAAGCCCCAATGGCAGTAACTAAGACATTGCTTTGAGCCGGCTGGAGGAGAGTAATCGCGTTCTTTAAAGGAAAGCTTTCAAGAGTCTTACAGTAAGCCCTTAAAAACACCAAGAGCTTGAAGCGACGCTGAATATCTGCTCATTGAGAATGCACTTACGGTACAAGCTGACGGCGACAGGCGTGAAGGCGTATCGTGCCATCAAGATTCTGCAAGCATCGAAGGGAATATATGCCCGGCCGGAGGAATCGCATAGAAAACTTGGTTTTACGGCAATAGTCCAAACACCATGACGAGGCAGCTTGATGCGCAGCGAGAAGCGATGGAACCGAATCGCTGAATCTCATTTTTCACCGAAGGTACGGCTGTTTCCCCGATGATAGATGAATTAAAATGTGGATCCTGCAGAAATGAGAGTCAGAAGACCTACTGAATTCTTGTTGTTCATTTGAAGCGTGAAACAACTCGTTGAATTCATCTAAAAGGCTCGTCATGAACATCATCGAGAGGAAGCCACAGGCATAACCGAATGAACAGCACTTGATGTATAGAATGGCTTTAGGAGCGTACAAACACAAAGCGCTGCAGCAGCAGGCTAGCATACCGAGGCTGAAAGCAAGGAAGCAACCGCACAGTTGAATTGACGAGGCGACGATAAGCGTTCCCCTCGGTCCAACGGAACTCGCGAGCGATGCCCCTATTCCTCCCCCGGCCACCAGTCCAATGCAATAAGAAAGGTTAAGGTAGGCCAAATGTGCTGTTCGATCTCGATCGCCTGTTTCCAAGGAAACTACCATCATTGCTGCCTGAGTCCCATGAATCATAAATCCCGGTAATTGACTGATAAAAAGCGCAGGAAGACTTGATGCCACTGCCATCTGTGGAATTAAATTACTCATTGAAAAATTATAGAGCTACGAATGATTATATGCCCACCAAAATATACATCAGGCAACAGGAGGACATTGCCAGAATAAATCTGCACAGGATGCGAGTATTTCACGTAGCACAAAATGCTTGACCAACGCAGTATCAGGTCTCACGCGCTACGTGGTCCTAGTGCGTCACCGATCCGGCCGAAGATTGGCGCTCCAAGAAGTTGACATACCGAAAAAACACCTGGAGGAAAGTGATGGGCATTAGCAAGCCGCATCGAGGCTATGGCCTGCTCACCTAGTATCCAGCCGTTTGCCTGTGCAGCCGATCAGAATATCAGGTCTAGCTTCGATGGCCAATATCGTAATTCAAATCGCACCTGGACAGGCTGCTGGAGTTCCATGACAATGTAGGGAAGCAGCGCAATCTAAGGAAGCTAAATTTACACGTGTGTGAGATCCCTATAGTTATGCATTCGAACCTGCATAGTGAATCCTGCTGCATAGATGGCCAGCAAGCAGTGGCAAATGCCAAGCGGGCCTCGCGAGAAGTCTTTGCATGATAGTACTGTGAACACTGCTCTTTGCGTGACACTCGTGCTGGCGGATCGCAAGAGCGAGGACATTTCAGCAACCGAAGCTGCAGAAATCCAGAGTCTGCTGTGAATCCAGTTGGTGTTTTGATAGTAAAACCTCCCAAAATGACGAAGTTAATGGGATGTAATAATTAATTAAAAATATTCAGCTTTTGGAAAATAAAAACGTGCTGTTTCAAGGAGCAACGCTGTCGATCAGTGTGGAGTGTATACGCACCCCTAATCTAGAGCAATTGTTCGTAGAGCGTGAAACCTCAATCGCCCTTTGAGCATCCACTAATTTCGCTATAATGCGGGTTCTTTCCAAGATTTATGGGGTAGTCAAGAACTCCTGGAAACTCGTTGTCCACAGCATCCATAGCCTGCAACAGCGCCTCTACCGCCGGCTCATTTGGGGTGGAACACCGTATTTTTGTGTCTGCAGGGACCGCGAAATTGGGAACAAAACAGCGGTTGAAAGGGCATCAATGCATATTATGCGGGAGCACCGAATCTAGATCTGCATTCATTGATTCAGCCTATCACTGCCTAAGTAGTAACACTCTAGAGGACATCTGGATCACGAAAGTTACAAATTACAGATATTTTACCTAATGTATTTCTAAAATGACGCTGTCCTGGCATTCCGCATAAGACTCCAAGAACTGGCTTCAGCAGAACGAACGGACTTTTCGGCTTCCTCGCGCTTTGCTCGTAACGTTCTAAATAGTCCAAGTACGCCTGACAATTCACAATACAAGTCCCTTAGAACAAATTATTTGACCTTTTGGGACTCTCTGTATGTCTATTGCATACCAATTCAATTACTTACCAACATAAGACTCCTCCTGCAATTTGCACTATCTGGATTTCGGTTCGTTCCTGCATGGGTCACCACACGCGCAGCGGATAATAAAGAATCGTTTACCTAGAGTAGCTGTGTTTTGATTGGTCAACATGCTATTAAAGCTTCACCAAATGTGGAAAGGTTCTGACTGTTCTCTAGCTAACCGTATATCAACGTGTCTGCTTGTGCAAGACAGCACGGATCATTCATTGCTGCTCTGCCTATCATAACGCCATGAAGCCCTGGGCCGCCATTGATCTCCTTATGTTCCAAAAAAGAAGTAGTGTCACTTTTCGCTCCATTTGCGTTTAATTCTCTCCATTTCCCCGACAGTAACTCATGCGCCTGTTCAAGGCTAGTGACACCTCCATTAATGGAGAAGCGCAGATTAGGAAAGGCATCATGTAGGGCGAAGACCCTACAGCACACAGGCGACTTAGCTACCAAAAAAAAGTGCATTTAAGTGGCACTAGTAAATTCCAGCATTCGATGGTGCGCGTTTACGGGCAAAAGCACTCGTGCACACTAGTATATTGCAATACAGAAGCACATGAAATCAGATCGGAACACGATCGCATCATACATACCTGTCGTAAAGCAGAGGTGGAACGGAGCGGTTCTTCTTGGGGTCGACTCCCTGCAATCCAAACAAAGTCGGAATAACTGGACGAAGTACTTACTAGGGGAAAGACAACTGAGACTGAAAAGGGTCTGCAAAATAAAGGGAGTACGCAAGTCAAAAGCCTTTTCTATTCAGACTAGAAAAAGGGTACAATCACCAACGGCGGACGGTTGTGAGCTTACTTGAAGCCAGGCCTTTCTGGCGTGGATTATGAAGTGTGTGCATCCACCTTCTGCGACCGTCTGAAAGGTGTCAGGATCAAAACAGTCTCCTCTTGCCATGTTAAGGAAGTGTAGCTTCTGAATTTATGAGGGAAAAGGTCAAGCTCAGGCCACTAAGTGCGCCTTAAACACAACCTTAGCTGACGCAAGTGCCTGTTTGTTCAACGCTATCAAGCCAATTCGATGAGGAAGGCTCGCCATGAAGGCCATCATCACTGCGAAGTCCCCAAAGTCCTCAGCATCAATCTTCATTTTGTGGCTATACCTTGCCCTTCGTATAAAACAATATTAAATGTGAAATGTAGCCATTGAAGGAATGAATTCCGTGAATTCATAAGGCATACCTCAACAAAGTTTCGGGTGAATTCCGGAGAGTCTAAAGTATCGACGCCAAGTCTGCATTTAACAGTAACTGGGATTTGCACACGCCTTTTCATCTGGTACACAATGTCCCGGACCTTTTCGGGAGTCCTCATCAGTGCTGCGCCAAAACAACCTGAGAAGTTTGCATACCACCACGTAGAGGAGGTCGTAAATTCCCCAAATTGTACGCACAGGGAGACAGCGCATAGGTGAAATGGTGTTTAGCTCTCTAGGTAACAGAACTTATATGTGTGCATCTACGCTGTATGTGTGCATGTACAAATCACTTATTTGACGAAAGGGGCAAAAGGCGGACCCTTAGAAACCACTCTGCAGCTTGGACAGCCAACGTTGAGATTGACTTCATCGTAGCCGGTTCTTTCTACCCACGTTGCTGCCTCAGAAACGGTATCGGCATTGGATCCCCCTGTTAAAAATCGCACGATGTGAGAGGGCCGCCTACCTTAAGCAGCAGGCTGCTCTGCCATAAGGACGTACTGCGCACGGGAGAAGCGATACTAGAAGAGAGCGCCCGATTCGCAGTAATGTGCCCGCTTACCTAGCTGACAAACAACTGGATGCTCATACTCATCAAAGCCTGAAATCCCAGCGCACTGCAGAACATCCCAGTGGAGTTTGTCCTGATAAAGTAGCTGATTAGCTCGCACACGACGAAGAGGCGATGAACGGAGAAGACGAACGAATAAGGAAGCAGAGCTCGCAAGGAAACGGGGTCTGAAAGATAACATGTGTTCTAAAGAGACAGGAGAGAGGCAGGTTATTTAAATATGTACAAACATAAATACATATATGCGTGCATACGCACAGACCGAGACGTTCCAAGCTGTCTGAGGGGGTTCAAGATAGAAAAAAATGGACCTTATGAAACAGATACGGCGAGAAGCAGTAAATTTGAACCAAGGAAGACTAGAGGACGATGGGAAAGGTGCCAGGCAGAAGTATACCGATGTGGTCATCCAGGTGGTGAGTGTTATGGAGAATTGTGGAGTCCACTACCATTTCCGTGTACAGAGTGGTTTTCCGAGTTAGAAGCCTCATAAAGTTCCTAACACAAATCAATGCACCACACAAGTATGTTTTCTACTAGGCCTATGAACGCGGTGGCCTCTGGTGTGAAACTTTGAAGTGGAAAAGCAGTAGAACGACGCTGCAAAAGTACGACGTCAAAGAACAGACGCTAGAGCGTACAACGTGGCACACTAAACCTTCCCAAGCATACATCAATCGGATGGATTTTGACAAGGATACAAAGCATACAAGTAATTTCGTTTTACCGGAAATGGGAATTTGAGACCGCAATCATCGGGGCCACAGCCAGCAACGGTTGCGAACCGTCCAATGAACTCCCTTCGTCCTCCATCCCATTTGAATCGTTATAAGTTGCCTAAAGGAAGAAAAAAGGTCCCTAAAGAAGACGGTGAGCACCAGAGTCAGAAGGCTGGACACGCCGGGTGCTACATCGGTCACGGATCCCTCACGGCAAGCAGTGCATTAAAATGCAGAGCAAAAGAAACAGGAATGCCAATTGTTTGCCTAATAGCCGTAACCAATAAAATTTTTTTAAATAGAACACTGCCCGTGTGGGGCCCCAGAGGGAGGCCCTAGGAGGGCATCCAGGGGCCCGAGGGGCCTCAGAGGGCCACCCTAAGGACCATTTTTCTTTTTTGTCCGAAGGACGTGAGTTCCTCTTCTTGATATGAATTCATGGCAGTGCCGTGAATATTCACTTTAGAACGTGCGTTGTAGGACTACAGCACATCTGGATACGGCTGTTTTGCTCCAATAGACGACTAACTGCTTGTAAAGTCAGAGCATGTTCACTGCTCAGCTAATAGCACTGATGTAAATTTATCAGTGGACAGCAGCCTCATTGTCCGGCGCGGCGGCAAAAGGCCAACCGGCAGAGCAAGCACTCCCACAAACCTGCGTCTTGTGCTTGTTCCGTTGGCGCTGCATTCCATGAGCTACAGCTTCCTCCACCTAGTAATTGTTTATTTGACATCCTCTGCTCTCTACGCTCCATGACACTCCAAAGAGTGCAGTGGCGCCAGCACAAGAACTTCTTTTGCTGTTTGCTTCTGGCTGTGCCATTTCGCGTTGCTGGCTCCACTGGACATAGGCTACGCATAATTACCCATTACATTGTTGCACAACCAAAGGAACTCGATTTCGTAAATCCGGCAAAGGTGTTTGTTCGTGCGCTTGTTTCGCCTCCGTGCCCTTTCCGCAAACCCCAAAGCCTAGTGCGTCTCATGACACACTAAGGCTACAATGGGAACGCAAATTCATCTTGCCACCAAAAAGAGGCAAACAAACACCGAGAAAAATATTGAGCACAACTGCATTAGAGGAAGGTGCCTAGTGCACCCCACTGCAGAGGGCGCCCTCGGCAAAGCGCCTAAGGAACCCCATGAGAAATCGGCCTAACGGTCGCACGTTTACCGGGACGTAGGGCCTTAAATGGTGCCTCCCGGAGCTATCGACGAAATGGAGGCCCCAGGGCCGCGCACAAATCCATCAGCAGCGAACCCGCAAAGTTAAGTTCTAGGGAAGACCCTCTGTTGAGGCGTTCTGACGAGGCTTCTGAAGGAGCCCTTCCACGAACTGGTTTGCCCTGCTGCTGTTGCTGCTGCTCTAGCAAGCGGTATAATAGTTGTTGCTGCAGCGGGTCATGGTAGGTGATCAGACATCCGTCTAAAGTTGAGAGGAGGAGCTGCAGCTTGGGATGCTGTTGCAGTAGTAGCAACAGGCAGGTGCGGACAGCAGAAGAAGCGCGGGAGGGCCAATCGGGCCTCTCAAATCGCTGCAGCAAAGGGCATTGCAGCAGGGCCAGCAGCTCACTGCTGTTGCTGCAGCACCGCAGCCGCTCTTGGATTGACACTAGTGAAAACCGTTGCGCGTGGAGTAGCTGAAGGGCAGAGGGCCAGAGACAGTTTGGGGTAGGAAACGCCACTGGGGCGCTTCCATCAAGCCGAAGTTCTCCAAAAGGATGGGGATGCTGACTAGCTGCTGTCTTTGCTAGGGCTTCAATAACGTCCATCTCCCCTAGGTCAGCCTCGCAACGAGCCAGGGGCGACTCCAGGCGTACACGTCTTCTTGGGAGGCTGCTCCCGTGGGTGGCCTGTGGAAGCGGGGTGGTGAAGATTCGCTGCTGGCAAGTACTGCAGAGGCCCCAAACCCGAAACTCCTCTTCGGTATACAAATCAGAAAAAGGACCCACCAGGTTGCTGCAAAAGGCATTAGTACAGAGAGCACCCATCAAGGGCGAGCGCTGAAGGTGTTCCAACAGCGAATCACTGTCGATACACACAGGGAAATGCTGCTGCTGTAGCTGTTGCTGCTGCTCGGTAAAAGCACGCCGCCACGCCAAAGACAACTCGTCCAATTGCTGAAGGAGTTGCTGCTGCAGTGCCTCATCTCCCATTGAGACATCCCTAGTCAGTTTCACATGTGATGTTGTTTCGCTGCTGCTGTTACTGCTAGTGCTACTGCGTGTGCTTCTTCTTCTGCTTCCGCTTTTGCAACTCTGAGTCTTGGCGGGCGCAATCCGGGGCAGAGGCTGTAGATCCTCCAGTTCTTGCGGCGGCGCAGCTGCAGCTGTTTTACTTGGATGAAACTGAACGCGAAACAGGATGTTTCCCTGCTGCAGCAGATGCTGCTGCCCGGCGCCTCCCAGGCTGCTGCGCCACCGCAGTGGGGACCAGTGTTCCCAGGGGCTGGTGAAGGGGGGCAGAGGCAGCGCAGCCTCCCCGAGGAAGCACCGCGTGTTGGTGCCATTGTGAAGGTTGCTACTGCTCCTGCTGCTGTTGGTGGCCCAAAGCTGCGCACTCACGGACGCAGCAGCAGCAGCAGCAGCAGCGGCTGATGGCCAATGTACTCTAAATCTAAAGGTCTCCTTCCATATCCCGTCTGCGGAGAGAGCCGTTTCCCTCTCTTCCCATTCACTAGGTCCTGTGGCGCAGCGAAGCACTACTTGCAACTTGGTGCCGAATTGCAATCTCGGTTGCTGTTTCGCCCCAGCGTCCGGCAGCAGCAAATTGGCTCGGAGTACAGCAGCTTCCAGGTGACCGTCATACACCCCACTAAAAGGGTTCTCTGTTGCTCTCGCGGCGGCTGCACAAGCAGCATCACGCAGAGCCAACTCTCTCTGCTCCCAGGTGGATGGCAGTAGCACCTCTTCCTGCTCCTGTTTCTGATTATCTTGGTCCTTCAAATGCCTCAAAAGGCCCTGAACTAACAAAGGCCGCAGCTGACTGTCTTGGAAAGCTTGCTCCACAAGGGAAGCTTCCCCAGGGCCCGCGTCTGCATGCTGCCTCTCTGCCGAGGAAAGCTGCTGCAAAGTCTTCTCCTGTTGCTTCTGCAGGTGACGTAGCAGCCTCTCCTGCTGCTGCTGCTGTTGCAGGAGCTGCTGCTGCAGCAGCTTCTCCTGCTGCAGCTGCTGCTGCTGCTGTTCGAGCTGCCGCTTGAGCAGCTCACTCGCTTCCTTTCGGTCTTGAGCTACTGTCGAGAGGAGCTCCTGCTGCAGTTGCTGTTTGAGCGAGTGCTTTAGCTGCTCTTCCAATTGCTGTTTAAGCGTGTGCTGCAACTGCTGTTGCAGCTGCTCTTTGAGGTGCTGCTTCAGCTCGTCCCGTAGGCCATGCGCTTGCTGTTGCCGCTGCTCCTCATGCTGTGCCTTTAGTGCCTGAAGGGCCGCGTGAACCTCCCTCAACCCCCCCTCCAGCGTCGTTTGTGAATCTGCTTCTTTTTTTGCCAGCCGCTTAAGTTCACCTTCCAGATGCGCTCTTTGTAACTCCATCTGTTCTCTAAAGGCCCTCACCTCCTCCTCCTGCTTTTTTTCCCTCTCTTGTTGCAAAAGCGTGTCTTGCCGCCCTGGGCCTTCGGGCTGCTGTTGAAGGCCACATTCGCCTGCCACAACGGGAGCCGCGTGCTGGCCCGTGTGCTGCTGCTGCAGTCGCTTCATGTTGTCTTGGTACTCCTTCAAAGCGTTCTGCGCCTCGGCAGCACTCTCGCTGTCCTCCACAAACCGTGCAACTGTGCGCTGTTTCAGCAGCGGTGGCTCCTCCTCCTCCTCAGTACTTCCCCCTCTCCTATTCTTGCTCTGCGTTCTGACCACAGCGGCCTCTGCAGACGCTTGGCCGGCCTCTTTTGTGTGGGGGCCCACAGATCCCCCTTTTGGCAGCTTCCTGGGTACCTTGTCTCGCAGTGCCTTAGCTACCTTCTTCGCTGCTGCAGCCTCGGCAAAGGCGCCAGCAGCACCGGCTGCTGCCGCCTCCTTGGCCTTGTCCTTTTGTTGCTGCTGAGGGTCCTCCTCCTGGAATTGGGCTGTTTTCTTCGGCAAGTGCCTATTTCTGGGGGAGAACTGGCGCTCCCACTGCTCCTGTTTCTCCTGTTGCAGCTGGGCTCCGCGCTGCCCTAGGAGTTCATGAGGCCCCCGAGGCTCCCTACTCCGGCGTGTGGGCCCCCCTTCCCGAAGAGGCCTTGCACTCCCCTGGCGGAGGCCCTTGCCAACCGCATACTTGTCACGGCAGCTGTAGCTGCAGAAGTCGGCGTAGCGGCCGTCCCACTGCATCCAGGCGTCTGCCTTGCACACCTTACAGCGAGGCCGAGCCGCTCGAGGGTCAAAGGCCTTCCCCGGTGTTTCCTCCTGCAACAGGAAGCTGAACAGCGCATCCATCGCTTGGTAGCTAGCGAGGCGGCATGATACGCATCACAAGCGAGAAGCATGAAGTGCGCACCGCTCACGCAGCCTCAATGGGCCACTGCTCTTGGGGATCCAGTGCGTCGTTAGGGTGAGCCTCCTCGTAGCCATTTCGAGGCCTCTCTATGGCTCGGCCGCAGACATCGCAAAGTTTGCTGCTGCTGCTGCCCCCGCAGTCGCAGCGGTCTCTGCCGCTCTGTGATTCTCCTTGCCTGTGTTTGTCTCCTCGCCCTCTTCGTTCATTTCTCGCGTCTTCGGGGAAAAAATCAACCTCAGCTGGACCGTCTCTTTCTTGCATAACGTTGCTCTCCCTGTGCCGCCTCGTAGGTCCTCCTGGCCTTCTACCTGCTTCTGCTCGCTGCACCCGTCGGTGCTTCCGCACAGCTTCAAGAAAAATCTTAATGGCGTGTGCTTCCTAGTGCAGCCTATAGCCGAAACAAGGCAAGGATAGCTGGGGGAGACCGTGATAGTGCCACTGCTGCTAAGGCGGGTGGGGTGTTGCTGCAGCGCACACAGAGGTCCTCGCAACCGCTCGAACACTCCACCAAGAGGTCTTTCACAGAGAGTGTCGAGCAGCCTCTGCTGGTAGCCCGACGGGCTTCCCGACACACGGAAGGCTCGAAGCGCGGAGCCGTCGAGTCGGCCGCTTTCTTTGACTGCTCATTCGCGGCTCTGTCGTGCCTTCTGCTGTTGAAACCGCCCAATATTCCTAGCTATAAACAAAGCAACAAAAGGTCCATGGCTCATCGCTGGAGATCCCGTTGCGCGCGTGCATCGCAGAGCTCGCGATGCACCGGCGGGCCATAGAGCGGTCGAGCCATCCCGAGTCGCTGCAGTAGGAGCAGCGGGAGGAGGCAACTGGCCGCTTAAACCCAACACACAGGCAGTAGTGCTCGTTTGGACTCTCTGTTGCTATTTCTTTTTGGGTTACTGCGCCTAGAGGAGCGGCCGTTGCGTTGGGTGGCTCCAGGCTGGGGGCCCCTGTACACTCCGATGGGGCTGCCGCGAAAGAGCATCTGGTCCTTTTTCGCGTGTATGTTACCATGCTGGACTGGTACTTTGAGGATTATTTGCTCTTGCCGTTGTGCAGCCTAAGTGCCGCTATTGCGGGGTTGCCCCTACCACACCCTTCTCTCCCTCCGCAGACAACCAGGTGCCCTCGGCCTCAGCCACGTTTCGACGGCGCTGCTCTTGCTCCTGCCGACTGGGTGCAGGAAAAGGGATCAATTCTGGCGTCAAAGCGCCAGACAACATTGGACCCTCTCCACTAGTAGCAGCACAGCCCCTGTGATATCTGTATCCATGGGCAGAATCCGATGCCCCTGAGGTGTCATCGAGACTCAGCTTTGCCCGCCAGTTGCCCAGTCAGGCATCCAGCAGCAGCACTCGTAGCAGAAACACAGCCAGAAGCGCACAGGTGGAGCTTCCTCCTTGCAAGGTCACCGCAGCGTGCAGCTACTGTCCAGAGAAGAAGCGGCCCATCCCCGCGGTGTTTGCGCATTGGGGCAGTAGCAGCTGCCTGTGTCGCCGCGCTGCAGCAGCAGCAGCAGCAGCACGCCTGCGTGCTCGGAAATAGCGATGCCAACACCCTCCACTCCTGCACAGGCAATCAGCTCGCTCGGCTCCCTCTAGTTCCAGGACGCTCTGGACCTCTCTCCCCCCCCCACGGCTCACACACTTCGTTGGGGGCAGCAGTGTACCTACAGGAAATCCTGGAGCTCGGAAGAAGCACGAAGATGTCGCCTGGCGTTCTCGGCGGGATCGAAGTGTCCTCCTCAGCAGAAGCACCACCAGCACCAACACCATCAGCCCCAGAGGACTTTGTGCAGCTGGATCGCGCTTCCTTTTCGCAGGAGAAAGAAGTGACGTTTCTTCGTGTGCCGCTGCAGCAGCTACAGGAGTACTCCAAGGCCCTTCGGAAGTGCGCAGAGTCTGCACTGCCAGCCTTTTTTACGCTGCTTCCCTTGGGCTTCGTGTGGCTCATGCTTCTGTTGCTAATACACAGTCCCTGTGGGAGTTTCTGGTGCTGAGAAGAAACTCACAGCTGCCACTGCTGATGAACGTTTGCGGCTGTAGGTACCTCCTGAAGGGAAGAAACCTCAAACCCGTCATTCCAGACCTCGAGAAAGAACAAGAGCAACAGCAGCAACAGAGGGTGGTGGACTCCCCAGGCGCAACAGAGCAGACGCTGTCGCAGCAAGAGCAGCAGCTCCAGCACAATGACGGTTCTGCATCTCCCAATGGCAAACCGGAAGAGTTCAAATGTCTCTTATTGGATCCTGCTATCGGAGCAGGCACGTAGCACAACACTCCATGGCCTCAGCCACGTTAGCAGCTTCCAGCGTGACGGTCTGGCATTGCTCGGGGTGCCACAAAGCACACACTGTCTACGGCTACTCTCTCACTGTTCAGCATGCATCTTTCTGCTGTGTGTATCTGCTCAGATCTGGCAGAACTGCCCGACTCCCTGAGACAGCTGGTGCAAAATTCTGGGATTCGTGTGGGGAGGCATCGGATATCTGTTGGCTATGACAATCTCTCAGCTCGTGAGGGAGTGCCACCGGCGTTTTCGTGCTAAACTTGCTGAGATGCGGCCTCTTACATGGCTGTTACTGTTGAGGGCTGCTCGCTTTCCGCGGCTCGTACTGCCTCTGTACTTACTCGCTGCTGCGCTCATACATCGCCGTTGAATGCTGGCGGCTCGCTTTTACTGGGAAGGGTGGTATGCCTGAGGAAGTCTGCATTTGTTTGAGCGCTGCCTCCTCATCCTTTTGAGCGTGTCTGCTTGCGTGTGCTGCGGCTTCTGCACTTTTGGCTTCTTGGCAGTGGAGTGTCTTTCCGCATTAATGCCAGAGACTGCGGAGGTGCCGCATCGGTTCGAGTGTGTGGGGCATATCGCTCACCTGAATCTCCCAGCCACCCTCCTTAAGTTCAAATATGCCATTGGGCAAGTGGTCCTCGATGTCCGTTGCTGCTACCGGCGCACATCTGGTGCTGAAGAAAAAAGGGGCTGTACCTTGCGGAGCTACGAAAAATCACGACTTTGTTGCTGCTGTTGCTGGCCATGCCAATGCTGCTGCCATCGCTGATTTACTGAAGGGCGCTCTTGCTGTTGCTGCAGCCAGACCCTTTTTGCCTGCGGCTGCGCTGCCCGCTCACTCCAAGTAGCATTGCCAAAGCTTCAGGCTTACCTTGATGGGCGCGTTTACTGCCGATGGTGTGACAAATTCTGATGCAGAAGCATCCTCAGCTGCGCACGGTGGTCTTGAAGACGGGCATTGGCGAGAAATGGAGAGAACTGCAGTTTGAGCTTCTCGCTGGCGAAGCGGACTACGTCGCTAAAGTAGTGAGCTTGTCGGCAGCAGTGGCAGTTTGGACAGGAGGTTTAACGTTGGCGGCGTCTGCGCCGACGTTTGAGCATCCACTCGGGGTGATATTAAAGCTGCTGACTCTGCATAGTATATTGAGTGAGAGGAAGACGCTTCGAAAAATACTCCACGAATCCCTGGGCTTTAAATGTGCTGAAGTCGTGGCAGCACCTCTGGGAGGTTGTGGATTCTGTGCAGTCTGCAGTGTGCCTTGCATGCCGCGCAGAAAGAAAGCGACTTGGTCTTTGAAGTGGACTACGCAAAAGCGTTTTGGAACTCTAGGTGAATTTCGTCTGGTGCTGATGATTCTCGTGTTGCTGTATCCGTAGCGTCTCCTGCAAGCGATGGCCTTTCTATTTGTGCTCCTATGGCTGCTAGAAACTTGTATGCACATGTGCCGCTTCGTGGGGTCTGCAGGCTTTCGTGTGAACGCCAGCGCATCACAGCTCTCATTCCAAGAGACGCAGTTGTTTGTAAGCGCATCTTTTATACGGGTGTTCTCCTTGATGACTGTCGATGATCAGCAGCAGCAGGACCGCGCGTGTTTGTGCATTCCTGGTTGCTCTGCTCCCGCTGCTCCTCCAATGGTGTAACGTGGTCATGGTTGTGTGCCCCATCTCCAGGCTCCTAAGCGTTGTTTGATTTTCCCGTCCTCAACGGCAGCACCTCTTTTGATTCTCTATTGCGTGTATGTATATCTGCGTGCCGCCCGTCTGCTGCAGTAGACGCTTTTGCGGGAGTTGGAGCATTCGCCATCTTTCTGGCTCGCAGCGGTTGCGTTGTTGCTGCAAACGATGGAAATCCTGCCTCTGCAGCAAACATGAAGACAAATGCGAAACGCAACCGAGTGAGTTGAGTGTCCTGCTGTCAGTGCTGTTGAGGCCGTTGTCTCCTAGACGCCAAGATGAGTGAGCGGCTGCGTCGGCATTTCCACGAATTGATGCTGTGCAACTCGCTTTGACAGAAACCATGTCCTCACTTTTCGAAGTAGAAGTCCTACTGTCTATTTCATAGGTCTCTGCGTTGGTGGAGGTGCACAACCGAGACGCACGGGAGTTCCTTAGAACCCAGGCACAGCCAGAGGCCATTGCGGCCCTCCTGCAGAAGCGTGTGCAGGCCAGAGGAACCTCAGCCCCCCCAACATCAGCTCCAAGAGTACTGGCAGCTGAAACAGGGCATGAAGTGCAAACCCCTGTTGAGGTTCACGTGCTGATGAACCTTCCGGAACTGGCAATTGAATTTTTAGGTCTGCCTGTGCTTCCCTCTGCCTGCTACATGTTTCCTTTCGGCGGTGTGTAATTGCTGCTGCACGTTCAGCTTACGGGCCGTGGCGAACAGCTGCCTGTACAGATGAGGATCCAGCAAATGTAAGTTCCCGTCATCTTTTGTTGTGGGGCCAACTGGGTGCGCTGTTGTTCAGACGTATTCCCAGGACTCTTGAGCCGGACAGAGCCGCACTCAAAGAGATTGCGCCCTGAAGCGAGACTAAACAGCGACGCAGCAGCCGCAGAGAAACTTCGAATTGCCAAGTGGCGCGTGCACTGCTACGCTTTTTGCAGAAACCCTAAGCCCGAAGAGGAACTACGGGTGAGATGTCCAGCATTGCTGTCCACCAGCTGTGGATACGTGTGTTGACAGGCCCACATGCATGATAGATAAATAAGTGCGTGCAGACCTGCGTGCCGACACGTATGTTTGGACACGTCTGTGCTTAAAGCCATAAGTCAAGAGCCTTTACTCGAGTTCGGATGGTGCTGTGCCGCAGCCGCGCGTGGAAGCTGCCCTTGGCTGTTGGCCTGAGCCAGTTGACATACAAGAGGTTTGTCACTCCGTAACAACCTTGCAGCTATGTGCACTCTTCTTCCCTTTAACCTGGAACCATAGGCTCCTGCTAAGGCGAAGCTGGTCGTCTGCAGGGGCAGTGGCTTTCTCAGGACACGAAAGGCTCTGGGCAAGCTCCCCTGCAGCACCGATCCGTACCACGCGGGTTGTTTCTTGTGTGGCCCCTGGTGTATGTACACTGCACTGCAGGTAAGGGACGTGGCGCCACACAAGAGGATGTATTGCATTGCCTTTGATATACCGGTTTCGCTACTTCGGGACGAGTCCAAAGCAACTGTAGCTCAAGAACAGGCAGAGAAGGAACCTTAGGAACGTTGCGGCCGAGCTATGGCTTGCCACCAGTTGCCAGCTCTCCAAAGGGGTTTCAGCACAACTATACGACCAAGGGAAATCGCCCTTGATGCAGAACACTGTAGGAACAGCGGGGAGGTATGGTGTGCATCGCAACAGCGCGAGGGGAGCCCAGCCCTCCCATCCACCAGCCAGGATGCCCAACTCTGAAAGCGACGTGCTGGTGCAGTACATGTCAGCCTTTCTGGCTACTGAATAACAGTATTGCTTCACTTATAGTGCAGCACTGCATTTTGTGACGTGGGGAGCTCAAGGTGCGGCTGCAGCAGCACCTTTCGCCTCCATGACATCCCATCCGTCGTTACTCACTCTCCTGCAAAGGCAAGTATATTCTTGACCTTTTCTTCTAAAGGCTTTGTGAGTGGATATTTTGAGAAAAGAGCTACTTACAGGTATGGGGGCCCAAAGGGGAAAACAAACTCATAGAATAAAGGAAGTCGGCGTTACCAACGGCTTACTGTTCCACCTTTTTGCACCCACTCATGAAAGGCAAACACGGTGCATGCAGGTACAAGGAACGCCGTAATTATACTGGGCGCAGGCAAGAGTTAAGCGCTGCATACGGCGTGTTTGCGCAAACCGCATAGCCCAGCTGAAATAGATGGGCCATCAACAAAGCACACTGCCTCTGCAGAGCTTCAGAGACAAAGTCGCTGAGCCTCATAAATGGGCCCCCTAGACCAGGCATCCTTCAACGAAGGCATTGGAGTTGCAGGCAGCTGCAGCCGTCGAGACTGCTCTGTGCCTCTTGCAGCCAGCAGCCTCGTGGTGCTCTCGAGCGACCCGAGACTTCCTGGCGCGCTCTCTCGGGACATGCAGCCCCATTAGAGTATGCAGACACTGTAGTGTTCCGCGATATACAGGTACACGTACCATTTCCTAAAAGCAGCAATATTCATCTTACTTGTGTGCGTGTGTGCCGGTCTGCACGTCACACTTTTTTCGCGTCACAGGTCTGCCAAAATAGCCCTATTGGGTGCTCGCTCCGGGCACTTTCTCATCTAGAGTCTATCCCGCTTCTTAGGTGGCCCAAATACATGGCACCACAGTTTCAATAATGCTCTGTGCTGCGTTGTGGAGAGGCTGACAATCAGCACAGGCCTTGAGAACCGCCAGGCCGTCTGCACGCAGGAGCGCGTTGCAGCAGCGAATCATGACCGAGACATGCGCCGGTTTGTTGCTGCTGAAGGCGGTATCTATCTCCTGAAACAGTTGCTGCAGCTGCTGCAATAGCGCGTGTTGTTCCTCCAAACGTGCAGGATCCACTGCCACCTTCTGCGCTTTACGCTGAGGCCCAGATGGTTTCCTTGCCGTGGGTGCTGCATCCGTTGTTGCACCTGTTGCCTCTTGCGTTGCTCCTTCCGTTGCCTCTGTGTCTGACTCGCCGCAGCTACTGCAGAATGCCCTGCTAGAGTCCGTTATTTCATGTAACCGTTCGAAAAGACGAGAGCAGCGCGCCTCCATCTGCTGCTGCTGCTCCTGTAGCTCAGCTGAAGGCTTTGCTGCAGCTCGCGCCTCTTCTAGGGCTCTCGCTCTCTCTGAGACACGACAAACACACTAAAAGGGACTTGCCGCACTGCAACGTAGCCTAAAAATACTGCAGATAAGGCGTTCTGGCAGAAGTGCTGCTGGATTGATTCATTGCACTCGTGAGGGCGCTTACCAATGTCCTCCTTGGAAGGCCACAGACGTATCTCCTCTTCATCGCTTGAATCGTTTACCATAGCTTCCAGGAATGCAGCACAACCGTGAATATCTTTGCTGCTGCTGCTGCTTGCGTTGCACCCAGTGGAGGTGTAAGGTACCCTCTTTTCTTGCTGAGGCAACCGCCTCTGCTGAGCTCCTCCAGCTTCTTCAACTTTTCGGTATAGTGGAGCTGTCCCCTCACCCCTGCTCTCCTGAACATGCTCCACATTTCGATCCACTTGATGTGGCATATCATGTAACTGTTCTAGCAATGACTGTATGTACACTTTGGAGGCAGCTATGGCCACAATAATTACAACGCCCACACAGATTCCAACAGCCAAGAAAATAAAGAATGTATTCTGTTGCTGCTGCCGCTCGTGCTGCAGTATCCTTTCCTCCAGCAACGCAGTATACGCCTCCAGGTTCCTCAGGGCACTCGTGTCATCCTCATTATATGGAAGGCTGCAGCTGTGGGGGCTGCTGTGGTCGTCAGTGCTGCCAGCACCAATGCTGCATTCTGCGCGAGTGTTCACTGCTGCTATTGTTGCCCTTTCCAAAGCGGTAGCAGCAGCAATGATGACAAAGAAAATCCCAGACGGACAGGTGAACTTCATCTTGGATCCAGGAATACCTGGGGGCAACACAGCGGAGGGGCCGCTGCGCTTTGCTGCTCTTGCTACAGTACCAGAAGCAGTACAGCAGCCCTAGTAGTCTGATAGCTAGCAAATTTGATACTTATCACGCGTCAACGCCAAAAAAGGAAATCGACTCTCTGCTGTCCCAACCCTATGGTGGCCCTAGGACCACCAAGCGCAGTTGCAACTAGCGAGCAACCTCAACTCTATAGGCACTCAGATACATAAATGCGAACAAATGCAACAAATTACATTTGTTCATTGAGTACAATCTTGTCTCAAGTATTCTGCGGACTCGGTAAACGCAGCAGTAACTGCTGTGGCTGCAGCCAGGTGCGGTAGCTCCTACACAGGGCCCCCCGAAAAGGGCCCCTGTCCTACGCATTCTCACCAAGAACGTTTCATGGTATCGTGACGGGTCGTCGTTGTTCATGTTTAGAAGAAGTGTATTGCTGTGTGTGTAGTCCGTTAAATTTCTCTGAAAAACTTTGCTCATCGTGTACCGCCGGTCCTTCTGAAGAAGTGAGGAAGGCGAAAATTGCAGGGCAAGTTCTACAACGCACAACAGCCAGTAGATTGTCGTAAACACGGCCTCCTGCACTAAGGGCCGCTGCGGGTATGTACTTTTGGTCTTTAGGTGTTGGAGGTATGTGTGCACGAAGGTATGACTACGGTATGCCAACTCTGTTGCCGGTCACGCTACACATGCGCACTTACTGCTACACTAGGTGTACTTGGTAAAGATCTATCTACACCTTCGCTCTATAATGTGGCTATCCTAGCATACTGGCTATGGTAGACTAGGATTAATTCAATTCAATAGGAACAAACGATGTCCTTCTGTGCTCAACTGGCTATGACTGCTTAGAGGGTACAGCAACGCTCAACATAGCGGCCCCCTTCCCCTCATGCCAGAACCTGAGGTGTGAGGGGAAGAAAGGAAGAGATCTTATGAAAAGAAACTGAATAGCGTTTATTTGAGCTTAATATTGGGTTTGTAGCAAAGTATCTCGCACTGAAGACTCAAAGTGGACTGTAGCACTTCACTTAAGTCTCCGTGGGGAGGCCCTTAGCTGAAGAGAACGCAGTCTGAAGAAACAGTGGTTTAACGTTTGCTAAAAATGCTCTCACCTTCCCCTGCCTGCGACCCCAGAGCTCCCAAGATGAATGTCATGGGGTGCACCATCTGAGCCCTCCAAGCAGTCACAGCTTGTTTCACAGCATTAAACATGCACACAAGATAGTCTTTTTTAAACCGATAGATAAGGCAGAAATAGTCAAAGCAACCAGCAAATCCTTTGCTACCTCATAGGTAGGCCAAAGAGTGTAGCACAGAGTGCTCAAGTATGACTTAGTTCTTCACATTTTCCCCTTCTATTTCAATCACATGTTCACGTACTATGTACCTGTAAGTCGAGACCAGTTGCATGCAGTGCAGCAGACGAACTTCCGGCCTGTCGCCACTCTGCAGGCAGGCAAAAAAAAACTATTAACCTTGAAAATGAGAAAAACCCACGTGTGCATCAATCGCCGAAGTTGGGCAGACGGGTAAGAAAGCCACACACACTAGCCAACGGCGATAAAAGGGGAGCAAGCCAACACAAAAAAGGCTGTACCAACGCGATGCTTCGCTTTTGTTCGGCAGGCTGACATGCATGAGTCTCCTGATACGATAAAACAGAAGGAAAATAAAGTGCTTCTTCTGAATATCGGAACCACATCAGTTCACTTGTGATTTTTGCCTCATAGAGCCATTTCTGCATGCCCGCTCGACAGGTGCATTCAACATTATCTATTCCAAACCCCCAGAAAAGGCACAAGGAAGAATGCATGGACACCGCAACAAAGGGTGCCTGTGCACACATCTGAGTGTAGAGAACGCCGTAACGGCAATGACAAGTAACTTTTCGAGCAATACCCATGAGTGAACGTAGCTGTTCCTGGCAGAGTTCAACGGCTGGGGAACTACAGACTCTAACGTGAGGAATGGCGTTCATGGCAACAAACACTGTCAGACAACCAAAGAGGGCCTCAAATTTTCCAGTCAAGGAAACCCTACCTGCTGTCCATTCATCCACTGAAACTACGATTCTTTCTATTTCAGAAGAAACTCATGTCTAGTGTCCCCTCAGCTCTCACTAGTTCATAACTTCAGCACCTTTGCGGTTCCCTGTCGATTCTCTGCCGCCACGCGAATGACTTGCCTGCTCGACCAAGTGGCCAGACACTTCTGGGCCTTTTTAACTTCAATATGAAGTTAGTATTGACAGTTCTGCAGCATTATCAACTTCTGGGAGAATTGGAAGAGGAACACCGCACATTGCCATTAGAGGAGAGGGCTCATAGTTCTAGCCAGCAACCGTGGATGATTTCTTTCGGGTATCTTTTAGCGCACCTTGTTAAGCACGCCGATCCACCAAGACTGAAAATATAGGCTCAAAACTCACAGTCACCATAATTCTGTTCTTTTCCTTTGATATTTGCTCACCCATTTGCGTGCACTAGACAGCTGTTCCCCAAATCGCTCTGCTGAGGGCAGCCGGTGAGGTTGGACCACTTTCTCCACACCGAAACCAGAGAAGGGTTCCTCAGTGAGGAGCGGGGATGCAGGGAGAGCACGAGTAGACAAGTATAGCATCGTAACATAAACTCACTCAGCACAAGCAAGAATCTCAAGCCAAACAGTTCGAAGCGTGAAGGTGTAGAGTTGGATAGACTCTTTAAGTGTGCGGGTGGTGCGATCTGATTGTCCATCTGCCTAAGGGTGGTTCGCAGCTGCCATTTGATGGTGTGTAGGCATGCCGTACATGCTCACCAGAATAAATTTTGTAGTAGTATTTCTGGAGACACCGTGAAGCTTTCAGACGCACGTTGAAACTAACCGAGTTACTTCCTGACCCTGGACCGAGATAGGGCAAATGAAGAGATGGAAATATTTGCTGAGTCTGTTGACGAAGATGTGGATGCTATCATGACCCTTGATCTCCAGCAGTCCAATAATAAAGTCCATGATCAAAATAGTGCATGTCCCCTCAGGTCTTGGATGGCTTTACAAATGGCCTGGTTCTAGGATTTTGTGACTTAAGCTTCTGAGAATCTATGCACGGTAGCGCATCCTCCAGCACGTCGGAATGTCTTCTAGGCCACCAGAAGGATCGTGGAAACTCCTTTTCTAAATTGAGCTCCACTGCGTTTTGCGCAGAAGGGCATTACGGAGCGAAGTCGGGATGTTCAGCTGACACACTCTCTTCTTTGTTTGAAGCCGTAGCACGTCATCATCAATGTGGCAATGTTCCACCCACTTACCATTCTGGGAGTGGCAATTATGTCAGAAGCCTGGATTTCAAACATGCAAGACTTGCGCAATGCTAGTGGAAGCCGAGAACCGTCATCGACAAGAACTGTAGCGCTGCACAGAAGTGAATCCATGGGGCCTCACGAAAGTGCGTTGGCCACTACGCCGGCGATATTCTTGATTTCCTTTACACGATGAGTTTATACTGCATGAGGCACCCAAGAAAGCGAACTTCGCTTCAGTGATCCAAGTCCATTTCCTACTTCGTAGCATACAATATGAACCCTAACTGTTCCTCCCCTCATTTGGGAAACTCTGGGGGACGTAGCAGCCGAAGGAGAGCACCCTTGAAAAATACTCCGCATTTCTGCTACGTTTGTGTGGCCTGGAGTTAAGTGCCTTTTGTACTAGACAGATAAGAAGCGCTAGGGGAAAGGCTAGTTTGGTCTTGCACACTTTTTGTTTCGAGGCAGCAACTTGACACTATAAGACAGTGCAAGAAACACGCCTAATGAGGTCTAAATTATTGCGCGTACATGTGGCTCGCCGAATGCCGCTGGTCTAGCGTAGCTATCCTACATATACGGCCCTTGTGGAACGGGCCCTTGGATACCTGCTCTATGTTCGTTACAGATGTTCGCAGGTACAAGCCGCTCATGAAATATTTTGTGCACAAAATGAGTCTTGCTCTAGCGCTTCTCACGCTCAATATGCTCACCTGCTAGCCGCATGAACGTCCTCCGCTTGCCAAGCCTGTCTGGCGAACAGACAGTGGTGAATTAATGTAAAGTTTTATATACCCCTGCCCAGTTCATCCGGCAGATGAACGCAGGCTCTCTATCTTAGAGAGCTGTCTCCACTGTTACTTTGGAGGGCCCCGTCCGTCGACAGTGGCGCATGAACGCAAGAGATAAAACGCCCTACAATGCAAGTTCCAGAACGCAACACGGCATATATATTTATGTGTCCTCTCGAACAAGCGGCAGACACTGTAGCCTGCCTCCAACACCTCTGATGGGCCACAGAGAAAGCATGCTGGATGCTTCCAAGCGCCCAGCTGTAGCTTCCTCATCACGTTCCTTCCCATCCACACCATCTACATAACCGTGTGCTTCTCACGGAGAAATTCGAAGGTTTAAGAAGAAGCATTGTCCTCTGGCCTTTTTTTAAATCCAAAAACCGAATACACTGTGCGTGCACTGCGTATCCCTTCCTGGCCTACAATGTCTGCGTAATACCCCACTGCAGAAGCATCACACAGACAGGATATGAACACAAGCCAGTTAAAGGTAGAACTCCTTCCAAAGTCTCAACACATCTGTATTTGAACCCTTATATCTTCGAAGCCCTCAGTCCACACCCAGGAGACCTTCAGCAGCCGCTACTCGTTGGCATGCTGTCCTGCACAGCTGACGCCCTCTGACTGCAGCGTCAGCGAAAGCCTCGCTCCCAAAGCTCGAAGAGGGTTTAATGTATGCCATAGGCAAATCCACGCACACTTATTATTTTTGGCAGTGGTCACGACACCACTGACTACGTCTTCCAGGTGCGTCAGAAACTCATCCTTGTCTTTCAAGATCTGAGGTAAGGTACAGAATACAACAAACTCAGGCATTCCAAAAGGGTGCGAGACGCTGTGGAGGTAGCTGCACTTTATGAAGTCCCAGGACAGTACTAGAAAGCC